TCATCGGTCGTATACAATCGGATATACATGTTGTTGGCTTTAAAACGGTCGCTTATGAATTCTGAAGAAGAATCAGATTAAAGTTTAATTCATCAGCTGGATAGTCGATGTGCAATTTTCAGGCGAGCATGATAACCTAATTTTCGAAAATTCGTTCTGCACCCAGTGCGAAGGTCTACTCTTGACGAATGCGAGTACTTCTGTTCACATCCGTGCACTTTGTGAGCACTTTGTGTGCCAGGAAGGTGTGTTAAATTTACACTCTTGCGAGATCTCTGATGTTTGTACTCATGTGTTGCACAAAGTGAGATTTTCGCGACTCTCGAACTTCCACAAAGTTTTAAGCACTTTATTCTCACCAACTATTCCATGCTATCTTCCCAATATCTCACAAGAACAACAGCATCACGCTACATCCTTTTGATGGTAGTTGGCTAATATCGTCAAGATAGTTTTAGGAAATTCGTAATTTTGTGCAACGTCCATTCACCATCTGTATATTCGAACACTACCAATGGTAAAAACACTTATCTTGTAGATGTTCAGACCACACCTCTCCTTCCGGCATTGACACCATCTTTTTGATGCACAAAGTGTTTTAATTCCGATCTTTGTAGCAATATGCGTAGGCTCATGCACCCATCACTCTGTGGGATAGACTTGTCGGTAGTCCGCCACGTCTTTCAAATGATTGAACAGCGGTTTGGTTGATCTCTTCGATGTTTTGGTCGATTGGCAGATTAGTATTACGACTTACGAGTCATGATGAATGAAAACAGTGTCTAACCTTGTCAGAATGGGGCTTGTGATCAATAAAGTGACGGTTCACTTCAATTGGCGTACTCATTGTGCCATATTCATTAAGTCACTAGCAGCAATGAATTTTCTCCATCTTTTACATACATCATGGACCCTAGTTTGCCAACCCTTCAAATTGATTGTCTGTCCCACTGAATTCCCGGTTTGAACGCCACAGAATTTGCCATCATCATAGCCATTATCATCATTGTCATCGACAGCATGACACTAATGATTCGCTGTCGTACAATCATGATTTATTTGAATGCCTTATTTTGAAGGAAAGAATAAAGGTGAATGGGACAGGGACTTAATGATGTGAGGTGCCCCTACCTCCAGACACCCATTCAGGTGCAGATAGCGAACGCTGACGAGAATATGGTTAAACAGAATTCCCGGGCTACCACTGGAGGTTCGCACTTATTCGCCTCTTCTCTGTAGCCAGTTGATAAATGTTTGGTTCACCTCAACTCCTATTCATTTTATTCTTCCTTCCATCACAGCTTCTTATCACGAATTACCTCGTCACATTTACATGGCTCCTACTATTTGTGGCCTTTGCTGTCCCTGTCGGATTGTGGACAATGTTGCATACCATTTGTCGGGAAGAGACAGAGTATTGGCGAAATATCAGCGCTGACAAGGACGAAACACTATTCACCTACACGTTCAATTTGACACATTACGGTGAGTGATGTTCCGTCTCCCGCCCCCTAAATCTATGCATCGTCGCTTTTACCTACGTGAGCGGTTTGTAATTGGTGCCTCTGTTAGCTCCTTTAATTAGTAATTCTGGTACTTGGCCTGAATGAGCTTCCTTAATTAGAAGCGGATATGTATAGCATGCTTTAGTCTAACGCCAAAATACCGACGTCATTAGTTTCGGGGAGGACGATATCTTGATTTTTCCCTACCAAAAATTTGCTCAACCTGTCGTGGACGTTGCTGCAGGAATTTGCCGTGTGAACCCAAACTTATGAGATGGACCTGTTGGTTTGTGCAAAGTCGCATGGTGCTAGGTGGACTGAGTTCTTACTGTCGATAACATCGGAAGACCGAAACCGTTTACGAACTTCACGAATCGACTCTGAAAATGAGGTGTGATCGAATTGATCCACGTATTAAACTTAGAAAACGACACGTGGCAAATGTCTAACATGATTGCAGCTGACGCGGGCCACCCTAACTGTCTGGAATGTCCGTGTGGCGTGATCGAAAAAGTAAGCTCTTTTTGGGTGTTATGTACACTGACCACCTGTTGGCAAGGCTTGCTCGATAGCGGTAATCAGAGGCGATTTTCTGGTCTCGGAGAAAGTGAATGAGGATAGCAAACATATCTCCGCTCTGTATCGCCTGGTTGGTCAAACTTATTTTGTGAGAATGATCTTCTTCATCCTAGAATATCTTACGTTTACCTCTAACTGAGAGTAATAGGCCTAATACTAAGACAAAGGGGTGTAGTTAGATACTGTTTAACTAACGAACTCCGTTGTAATGGCAAATCCTGTGCAAGGCTTGTGCGTTTTCTTTTCTGCGTCTCCGTAAACTGCGATGCGCTAATTAGAATCAAGCCACACCTCAACCAGTTTCTCCTACCACGTCCATTGAAGGGCCGATTTGATGACATGTTCTCCGACATACCATTTTATACACACTGGGGTATTCTGGCGTAATCATGGGTCCTGCTTCAAAACACTCAATGTTGAATTGGCCAGCCAGGGCTTTACCTCTACTTGAAATGTTCGTGACATAATGAAGAGGCAGGTATAGATTACCGACCATGTGTTCTTTATTTTCAAGGCTCTGTGGGCAGTCGTGCTGCAGACCCGAGAGTAGTAGGGTCCATAAACTGATCAAAAATAGACACAACTGTTGTATTTCGTCATTAAGAGTACATTTCCTCACTTCAGCTCAGCTCACCTGCTATAAGCCATGTACCAAAGGTAGGCTGCTCCCGGCTGCTACGGTTTCAATCACCGTAAAGTAGGAGAGCATATGAGGTGTAGCCAAGCATTGGAGGCAACAGTATAATCAGAAAGCTCGTACTGAATCAGTCTAATGAATTGAAAGAACTGGAAACTGAGCAGCTACGCGTTGAAGGTGATAGCTGTGATGTTAGGAACACCACTGACTGTAGGGTTGAATTATTTCTGCCACTGCCATTAACAATTGATAAAACGGGTCCCTGGGTCTCTATTTTATGGAGGCGGAAGTTTTCATCTCTCTTAGGTTACCGGTTGGGACATTCATACCTTGGTGTCCGACCATAGGCTGTCCGCATCTCGATCGCTTCCACTCAGAACAGGGCTGCATGAAAAGAGCTGTGCGAGGTATACTGTACTCTGACGTGCGTGACCTATGAGGCGTGGGTAGCTCTTCCGTCGCGGCATAAGTCCTTGTTTCTAAAACTACATGACGCAGCTCAGCATTGTTAATCCGATCAGACCCAGTCAGTGATTCGAGGACACTAATGATCAAACACCAAGTGTTTTCGTAAATTTGCGCTGCGATTCTGATGCACAAGGCTGTATGAATCGCTCCGCCAGCTGTCTTTGACAGACAAAGTGACGTCACGTCGACGCCATAGGTGTCGGCGTTTAGCGAGAGTTGCCGTCATTCAAGAAGTGATCTCGTTTTCAGCCAGTCCACCGGGTAAATAAATTTACCTACCTCGCCGATTAGCTCGTCTGCAAGCATGCGATTCGGGTTTCATCCCACCCGTTCTTGTAGCAGCGCTTTATACTTTGCTGGTGTGAATCGCATACGAAACAGTGTGGCAGGATTATTTAAGTTATTTGAAATGCTTTTTGAAAGATCTGAACCAAGGTGGGTAAGGTCGTCCGTACACTCGATGTTTGTGAGCGAACGTCTCGGAAGTATTTCGATCCCCGAAGTTTCAGAGTCAGGCAGAGGAATTTCAAGCAGCACATCAATAACACCACTGGATGTGATGAACTCTGTATTTGTCCACAGGAGTTTGCTTACAGTGCCGTCATAACGGATGAAAAGTCCAGACGAAACAGAATTGTTCGCCAGGTTCCCCAGTGGTTTCCGGTGACCTATAGAATCGAGATCAGTCAGATCAAGAAGAACAGCCAGCTTTGAACGTTTGAAATAGTGGCGCTGCTAAATAACTTGTCTCAAGGTAAAGAAATCGTCGATGCATTCTTGGCCAGGGCGGAACCCAGCTTGATCCTCACGAACCTGTCCCTCTCGATAATCGATCGATCTGCGCAAAATAATTCCAGGAAGCACCTTGGATGCGATGGTGATTTCCGCATGATTTTCTTGCGACGTTTTTGGTGGCTGGGATCACAGTCGAAGTTCTTTATTTCACCAACCCACCCTCGTTCTAATCCTTCCGTGACAAGGTTGTGGGACTGTTCACTATCTCTTCACCATCTTCAAAAACTTCAGGATGCAGACCAACCGGGCTGAATTCCTTGTCGTGTCGGAGAAGGATAACTCATGCTAAATTGTTCTGTTCAGCGCATCGCTTAAGAAAACGATTCCGTAGATGAACTACCGACCTATCTTTTTCGTCGACACCTGTCGCCTGCATCGGAATTCTCCCCAACCTCCTGGGCCTTTTCACTCCGCCAGCATTCTCTTTCAAACTTCAGGTTCCTCAGTAGTCCGGTGTTTAAGAGATCCGCGTTCACCATCGTAGTCGCTAGTTGCTGATATGGCTATTCAGCTGGTCTTGACGATGTCCATTGTTCAATTGTTCCAGTCTTGGCCCTCGTCCTACAGCCTGAGAGCTTAGATTTTCCCACTTGACCATTGTTCAATTGTTCCAGTCTTGGCCCTTGTCCCACTTGTTTGTATTCGTCATCAGCGTGACTGTACGTGTTTACTCGCCTTCCATCCAGATCAGCTTGATATTGTTGAGCCACTGAAACTCGTTGACGGAACTGTTCTGTTTAGGCGTTCACCCACGATGACGGCTGTATCGTTTCTTGCTGAGCGAGGCAGTTGCTATGGATCTCGGTTAACCCATCATTGCCAGATCCTGAACTAGTCTGTCGAAGCGTATGCTGACACGAAAAATGGACACTGTTTGCCGCACCGAACTGCATTAATCCTAATTGAACCAGACAAACCAACAGAGTATAGGTGACTGTTTACTTTGGTCCAGTCTATTGATTCGCTTTCAGCCCTGGGACTAAGTGCATCACCTACACCATCATCACAAGAATCACCAGGTAACCAAAAATTGAGGTGCGAAACATCTGAGCTAGTCGTCGGGACTTTGAGGTTCCTGACCGAAGGAGAGTCCGGTAGGTGTCTTGGAGGCACAATGTATATCGACAGAAATCGAAGTCAAATCTCGGTGATAGAATCTGACAGATAATACAAATATTGAAGACTGTATTGTGGATCAGGTTTTTCTAGTTTAGCAATGGGCTGTTTTGGTTCATTTCGGTGGACAATGAATCGGACGTAGAATAATGGTTAGGGGACTGACATGATGATGGATCGTAGTATTGTGGACGAAGGTGATTGAACGGAGAGTTCCCAGTTTTGTTAATGCTTACCGGTTTCTTATCTTCGTTGTTATACAGGTTGCAACTAATCTCAAGCACAAACGATCTTCACTCCAAAGCTGAAATGCTTACGTTGAAGAAAAACTTATCTGTTTCGGGAAAATAGTAGACTCATAGGGATCTTGCACACTAGAATAGTTTCGACAATGTTCTATATCTCGACACCATGTTTAGAACAGTTTAGTACCTACTATTCTGTCTTATAATTGGCTCTCTAGTGGTGAAATACGTCGATAACCCCTTATTAAACTAATATCATGCATTCGGAGGTTTTTCCCATCTCGAAGCATTCGTCCAACTCTGTGCTTTCTTAAATGAGAAAGTTTCATTACCCGGTGCTTCCTATAGGAAAAATAAGCTAATAAAAATCGCTTGGCATTGATCCCCATTGCTCCCCCATCCCGAAAACATCATATTTTCACGACCGTATGACTAGTATAGCTCGGTGTTGCCGCAATTTTCCAGGGCAACTTGTGTCGTTTCAGTATCAGGATTTGCAGGTAACTCACTGCATGATGTGCGAAGATAACGCGTGCCATATTTTTGCAAACGTTTGACAGAAACAAAAACAAACTAGACCGCATCCAAGTGATATGGTCCCATCTCGACTCAGACCGATTGCTGATTGAGTCAAAATGGCCACTTTTCGTTTGAGGTTCATGTGCACTCAACTATGAGTAGGCTGGAGGTAAAAGGCTCAGAACGTTTTCACAAGGTTTCTGACATCCGCTACCTTGTTTCGTATTGCCACGTTGTCTGTGTAACGCGCCCATGATTCCAGCATTGCGGAAGACAGCGAACCTAACTGCAGACTACTGCCACTCAGGCTGATACGGAAAGACTTGGGGTCGTGAACAACCACTAATTGGCCATGTATGGCCGATAGACAGCCACGGACACACATCAAACTAGCCTACGCTGCCTCACATGTCCTTATCGCCGACTCAGTGAAACGTATGAGTAAACTCCGCCTATGTTTTGACGGTTTGGAACTCGCCGACTCAGTGAAACGTATGAGTAAACCCCGCCGGTTTGGAACCATCAAAGTGAATGTCGTTCAACTGTATCACCCTTTCGGTGCCTAACTGCCATGCCACCCGAAGGAAGCACGAGGGCTGGGTTACTGCCAGGTTGCCTAAG